TTTTTTTTTCCTTCCTTCCCCGCTGGCTTTGGCTACCTTGAAAAGTGTTTTAATTCCTTGCTTATTAAGCCAAATCATAGTTGTAAAGGACTTTTTTGGAAGGTTACAAGTGAGATCACGATTCATTGTCTACATTGACTGTTGTAGTTGTTGTCTAGAGAGTGATACTTTTAATAAAATAAACAATAGTATTAAAATAAATAACACTTTCTGGTGTAATGCCAAGTGGTGAAGTAGGTACTGAGTTTATTAATTCTACTGAACAGGATTTGAACTAACCTTTCCTTTTGCTTGCCAGGTTCTAACACCCTTAAATCTGCCCATTCTCTAGACACCACAGCGAAGGGAAATCAAACAATTATTTACCCAGGTTAAATTTCTTGTATGTTTGGTCCAGTCGATGTGGTGCATTAGCTTCTAGTTCTAACCACTTCTGCACTACCCCTGATGGCATAAAAATGGTTGATACTCATCTGCCAGTTCAGAGATGTTCTAGCTGCATTTAGGACCCTTTCTGGTAATGACACTTGGTGTAGGGAGTAGTGGACATAATAAGATCCCAAACTACAACTTCTAGGAATAGAAGAGCTGTTCTGTCAGGCAGATATACAATAAAATTCTCTGGTAATAAGACCTTGGTTATATTTTAAAACTTTGGGAATTTAGCCTTTTAAGTTTGTTATGGTAGCCTATGTAGCTTCAGGTAACCTTTCTGGAAGATCAGTTTATACAGAAAAATATGTAAGACTGACTTATTGATCCAGATTTCAGTTAGCAGTTAGCACTGCTTATGGCTTAAATTTTGGTATACTGGAAGCTTTTTGTGTGATAATTATTGACAAAACTGGAACGTAACTTGTTTGGTTTATGTTGTAATAAATATTGTACTTTGTTGTTGGCAACGACATTTTAATGTAAGTTGTAAAAATTAAATATTAACTCACAACCACATTTATGGTGGTGTATATCAAATTTCACACATTCAGCTTGTGAGAACTTGAGAACTTGACAGGCATCTGTCTCTCTGATAGATGGTTCTCTGCTCAGAGCTGATGTGAAGCCAAAGTGCATCATAATACAGAGATCCCAGAGTATTTTGATTTTAATGTTATGTAAAACTAAGGTGACTTTAGCAGACATTTAGGACTGCATGGTAGCTTTATTGTAAAGGTTGAGTAATGTATATATGTTGGTCATGTTTCATGCAGCCAACCACTCTGCCTCATACTTTTAAAAACCTTCCCAAACTGTTTCTAAAGTGAAAGTGACATCTGAAACAGAAACAGAAGCGGTGCTTATGCTTCCTAAGCTGCCCAATTGCTGAGTTGCAGCAGCCTCTAGAGTGCTGCAATTTTCTATATGCTTTGTTACAATTATGTTGTCAAGCTTAATTACCGTTTGGTGGAAGATAAATTGCAAATTTATCTGTAGCCATGAAGAGAGCAGTGATAATAAGTAACCCTGCTGACATTAGTAAGCATAATGTGCAGCATTTTATATTTGCAGTCTGAACTATGCTGTAGGTCAGATGATGCAGTGAATTTTGTTGAAAGTGGATGTTCAGGATCCTGAGAGGCAACAAAAAAAAGGCTTTGTGTAACTCTTAAAAATTGTCTCTCTAGACATGCACTGTAAATTTTTAATTTTTCTTTTTGCTTGAGAAGGTATAAAGAGAATGTCATTGGATTGCTGCTGCTGTTGTGCTCATAAACATGTAACAAGTACATGCATATTATTGAAAAATAGGTCTTTTATATTTGCTCTGCAAAAATGATAAATTTCTTAGACATTCCACAAGAAAAAAACCTAACAAGTGAAGAGATAGTGTGGAATGCATTGTGATGTTTGAGATGCTTTTATCCAGCTAACTGATTCAGTCGAGATTATTTACAGGCGGTTTGAACTTGCATGTTGCATAATGGCAAAAATTGCTCATTTCTTTCTGAATACTAGGTCAATTTGATTAAATTCTTCAGAAAATACTGTACTTGGAGAATTCTGAACTTCCCTGCTGTAGCCACAGAGGTCATGGAGTGATTCTTCAATGCATTAAAGATGCAATTTTATCTTATCTGCTTAGGTAGAACCAAGCTGCAGGAACAGGCTGGGAAATGGTGCATGGTAGTGTTCTGCAGCATATTGGTTGGGCTGGTCATGGGAAGTGTGCTTTGGTTTTGACAGTGCCATGAATTGTGGATTCTCCCATGCACAAAGATTAAGGTTCAGGAGCCAGGGAGGTGATCACTTCTCACGGGGCCTTTTGTAATGGGGTTGGACTCCTGGGAAACACAAACTCTGACTTTGCTTTATTTTATGTATTTTTTGATGTGTTTAACTTAGGTTAACAACTTGTTTTGCAGCCTACTCTGCTTTAAGTCCTTTTGTGGTGACAATTCAGGGACATGAGACAGAAGAAAGCTTTTCATACCAAAATTCTGTTTCTGAAAGAAATACTTTAGAAGGAGGAGAGTTATGTGGCTTGACAGACAATGAGTTCATGCTGTTTAAGGAGTACAGGTCAGTGCAGTCAAGAGCACAAAGACAAGAATGTGACAGGAAGAACACTCAGGCAAAAAATGATTGTAAAGAGCAGGGAGGAGAGGCAAGGAGACCAAATTTGGTCCTTATGTTGTCTCTGTCAGTGTGGCACTGGAGGGGCTGCTGCTGTTAAATTCTGTATTTGCACAAAATTACTTTTGTTGTTTAATAGCTAAGAGATTTCACATGCTTAAAAGAATTCTAGAAATGAAAACTCTGTGAAAGTCATTATAAAACTTTTAATATCAGTAAAATTATGACAAAAAATTTCCCTTCCACATCGTGTCAGTGTCTGATCTTATCTGGTGACTGAAATGCAGAGATATAGATGCAGAATACTTAATGCTGACTAGTGCATCCAAATTAGAATCAAATGGCTTCCTTTCACACTGTTGAAAGGTCTAATGATGTTTCAGTGGTTAGAGAACTGAGAATCCAGTGACATGTATTGGCCACTTGAGTGTTCTTATCAGTAGTGGATGGATAAAATTGTCAGTATAATTTGCAGTCACTAAAGCACACTTTTGTAAGTTTGTATAAGCTTTAAAACATTCATTAACTATACCTTTTGTTTAATTATGCTTTCTGTATTTTTTTAATTTCACTTTTTGAATATGTAACTAATTTTATTCTATATTGTATGTAGAAATTTATGTATGATTGATATATAGTAGTAAATATGATACAGTAGATTATCTTATATAACAAATTTATGTAGTCTACATATAAAACTAGAACTTGTAAATCATAAAAATGATTGTTGGAAAGATTATTTTTTTATGTATAGAGCTGTGTATTAAACATGGAATCTGCTTTCAGTATGAGCTAAATGAAAATTTCATGGAGTGCTTTCCAATATGCTCAATTATTTCACATGACAAAGTGACATTTACTGTGAATTTAACTGTCTGCTGACTAAATTAACCCCCAGCTTAAAAGAAAACAGCAAGCTAATTTGTATTGGTCTCACTTTTTGTTACCTACAGAGTTAGACTGGCTTAGTAACCCAAGCTTCTCTGCAGAGGATGCATTATTACTGCACCAGCGCACTACAGAAGTTGCCAATCTCATTCCTGAAAAATCACCATTAATAAGGTAGAGCATACTTCAATGTCTTTGGAAATCCCCTCTTTCTTTTGTACTTCTTACCTTTTGTTATATGAGACCAAATTCAGAAGCTAAAAGCTGTTTTTCATTCTATTGTTCCGTATTTAAAAATGCCTGAACTGAGTCGTGTGTAAAAGAATGAATAATGCTTCCATGTCCTTTAACTTAAAATAATGAGAAATTGTATGTATGCAATTACATTCCCATTTTCTTTTTCTCAGAGCAGCATTTAAATGATTGTTATTTTGGAATGGAGAGGGAACTGAGCAATCATGATTCTTCATTAGCTTTTGAATGTCTAAAGTGACCCTTGAAATACTGTAAAGATTAAGCATCATCTTTATGATTTCTCTGTGGAAACCAAAGAAATCAACCACAGCTGACTTTTTTGCTTTTTGAAAAACAGTTGCTGATGTGAACTAATGAAATATTATCTGTATCTAGTTGAGTATGGCTGTAGAGCATGCTGGTCAACTCAAGTGGGTGATTTTATCCTTTCACAGAAAGGAACTTTAAGCAGCCAGGTTTGCTGAAGAATTAGTTTAAATTAGTTCCCTGGACTAGTTGCTATACTTGGCTTATCTACACTGTAATTAGCACTCAATAGTGAATGCAGTCAGGTTGTAGTTGTCAAGTTCAAAACCTTAGTCACTTTTAATTTGACACAAGCTCCCTTGTCTATGATAATTGTTGGTATACATGATAGAGAATATCTTCATAATACCAAGCACACCTAAGTACATCTTTTTCTGTACTTAGTCTTGCATTTACATGCATTGTGTGTTTGAAATGCATGTATGATTGTTTATCAATCATATATTCTGCTGTGTTTCTTCAAATGTTTTTAGGATTTTAATGTCATAAAGCTAAGGATTTTGCAAGT